CCAGGCATATTTTTAATGGGTCCTTAAAGTTCATAAACCATCACCAGACTCATTTTGTGATGAAATTATGCTCACAACAAAAGCATGGCTAAACTTTAAACATGACATTCACCAGAGATACAGACTTCATTTGTTTACTTTGTCATTGTTCATTCCCATTTTTGTCAGCAGAGGGAGCTCCAACATCTAAATACCTGATTAGAAACTTTGCTGAAGTTCATAAAGTACATTTTCCATTATGCAGACGTTATTTTAAGCTAGAAAATGTGAAACACTTCTCCCAAGGTGACCTAAAGCATGATTATATAGGATTAAAGCCTCAAGAATGCATATTATGTGTTCTTTAGAAAAAACGTCTATGGTATATTTGTGTAGGGGAGGTGAGCGCGTAGAGACGGAGAGATGTTTATTATGACTAGCACCTTGGTATGCATCAACTAAAGCATGAGTTACTAGAAAAATAAATGAAGTAGAGGACAGCCGTTTGAAAATGTTGTGTTGTGGGTAAAATAATAAAGCATAATTTTGACAGTTTATGAATAACATACCACACAGGCGTAACAGAGCTATCAGGAAGGACTCTGTGTCTTCATATAAACCTGACTTAAAGGGCCCATATTACACAAAAGTGATTCTTGTGAGCTTTAAGTCATGTTAGAATGTTGTTAACTCATCAAAAACAGACCTGGAGTTGTGTTTTGTTTCATTCACACATTTGAGCAAGTGTTTATTATTTGTCTCTCTACATCTCCAAAGCTCAAAATGTTCTGTTTCACCTTGTGATGTCATGAAGTGGTAGTTTTGAAGTGAGCAACCCCTTTTACGTTATTTTCTGGGACTATAAATTGCACTTTTTTCATGGTTTGGTGGTCCTGCGACTTATATTCCAGTGTGACTTATATATTAAAATTTTCACACTCCTATTGCTCTTGTACCACTGTCGCTTGGCTCTACTGGGCATGTCTCCTACAGAAAGAGCCTCTGTCATGTCTGTATCATGTCAGTCGATCACACCACTACTTCTGCACCACCAAAAATTTAAAAAATTAAACAAACTAAAATTAATTAATTAATTAATTAAAATTAAACAAAAAAGACAAATGAGAAGACTGAGCACAAGTGCAAAAAAGAAAATCATGTTTTGCAGATTACAAGCAGCAAGTAGCAAAATACTCAGCCGAAAACTGTAATCGAGCAGCAGAAAGAAAGTTTGGACTGAGCGAGAAACTTGTGACACCTGGAGGATGCAACATGCAACTTTCCTGGAAGTCACTGGATGAATTGACAAAACCTGGACTTGAGACTTGAAACCATCCTGTCGGGATTCAGAAAGGCCGAAATAATTCTAACTGGAACTGATGCTGAGTGTGACGACAGCGACACAGAAGAGGAAGTGGTGCTCTGTTTACCTCCGGAGGTCGCGGAGTTGCTCAGAAGTGACACCGAGGATGAAGAATTCAATGGATTTAGTGATTTGGAGTGAGATGGAGAGTTTGGTGAACTTGTTCTGTTCTGTTCTATTGTTAATGTTATAGTTTATCTGAAGAACTGTTCATATGTGATGTTAACAGTCTGTTGTTCTCTGTTCTGTTGTTTTTACTAGAACTTGGCTTTCAAGATGAAATGTCGATTTCTGGCCTCTGATTTTATGAAACAAATCTCCCCCAAAATGTGCGGCTTAGAGATGTTTTTTTCTTCCTCATTACGCATTTTTTGGCTGGTGTAACTTACACTCCGGAGTGATTTATAGTACAATATGGTACCTTTAGTTCAGTAGTGAATGGTAATTCCAGGGCTGAAATTATCCAGATGATTCTAGTGAAGGTGTATGGAATTTAAAAACACAGTGGAGCAGAGAAGAACTATTTGAAAGCAAAACTCAGCCTAAATATGCAGGGGTTGTGTGTTAAACATGTGTGAATGAAACAAACCACAACTCTAGGTATATTTTGGTTCGGGTTATACGGGCCCTTTAAACATAATTGGCATAAATCTTGTATAATCTAATGCATTTTCTACATAAATCTTTTAAGCTAGTTGCTTTTTAAAGTTCAAAACATTGCCAAAGAACATTAGAGGTCAACTGCGGAGAAATCAAACAGGATTAGACCACTCCAAGGACAAACTCACACAAACACACATACGCACACACACACACACACACACACAGCATCCCAGGTTAGTCTAACAATACCCCTTAAAACAAAGAGGATCCACGCTACAATGGTCCCGTTCCAATGGGGAGCTCGCCTTACCAACCTCACACACACACACTCTGGCTCTGCTGACTGGCCTGAAATTCCCGAGAGGCCCCAGGATGAAAGCTAACGGAGCGCGATTGTTTCCTCTTTTTATTTATTTATCCTTCCTCTGGACACTGGTCAGCTGTGGATGAAAATAGAAGGGACAAATGCGTGCGGATTTGCGTGGGACTGGCAGCGGATGTGAGGCTGCGGAGACAGATAATATGAGCTCGGGTTAAGTACATGCTTGGATGTAAATGCGGCGTTGTGGATTGAGGATACTTGGACACATGCTTTTGTTAATGCGTTATGACAAAGTGAAAAAAGACGTTGGAGCGCGTTCAGTTTCCATCCCGAGCTGTTCTGGGCGTCTGGGAGGGATCACCGCGCTGGCGACGACAAATTATTCACAGGCAAAAAAAAAAAAAAAGAAGAAGAAATAATGTAATTGCCGTGAAGTACTAGTGCTGACCATAGACTCTATAAAGAAGCAGACTAAGCGAGCGTGTCACCCATATCGTTCGGCTCCAGTCAAATGAAGCTCATCGAGGCATTTATAGAGGCGAATTTGGAGCCAAGTTCTATATTTGCAATTCCGACTGCGAGTATCATCGAAGCTGATCCGGAGGAACGCTGTTGAAGGTAACCGCTGAACAAGGAATTCCGCCTCTGTCCCGGCTTGAGCCTGACTAGTGGCCGCTCCAGGTACTGCAGCTCCCGGGAACTTAGGCCCAGAGGAAGCACAATGCTTTTTTTGGGAATTCAAACTGCCCGTGTTTGGCTGACAGGGCATCGACAACTTTCGCAAAGGTCGGATTTTGTAGGGATTCTTTTCTGTCGTGCTGTGGTCCAAAGCAAGAAAAATATCTGATGAAGACTTTTTTTTGCCGAAACGTTATTTTGAAAATAAAAAAGCTTTTGGACATCGGCCATCTAAGTGTGCTATGCATTTTTTCACTTTTGTCTGGCTGCTCCTTACATTCGCACCTCTACAAGAATTTTGGTGTGTGTTTTCTGTTTCTTTTGATTCTTTTCTATCACAACATAAACTTTTCAAATTTTTTATATCCTCAAAGTGGCTAAAAGTTAAGGTTTTCTTTCTTTTTTTTTTTTTCTTTCAAAAATTTGGTCCTATGTTTACACATTTCCCTTACCATGAATTTGCATCAGATTTTATCCCCATTTCTCCCAATTTGGTCACTAGGTTGAAATGACTCTGAATCATCCCTTTAAATGCGGTATAATAATGAAAATGACTTGATTTAGAGTTTAATTTTGAAGAAAAATCTTGACTGGGGGAACACAGGACCAAGTGAACATAGGGCCGAGGGAACATAAGGCTGACCCTGGTCCAAACACTCCTCATAATGCATGTTACAGACGTCATACAGGTGGGAGGTGCTTGCCAGTATTGAGGAAATAAATGTGGAAGAGAAAAAAATTTGGGGGCCATTGAGCACAGCCCATTGAAAACAATACGATGTCATCTTGGGTTCACCTTCCAGATTTTATTATAATTCTATGGGACTGCTTAGTGACGGTGTCAATCAAACCTGTTTCTGACATTATTGGGAGTGACCTTGGGTAAAGAAGGCACTGGCTTTGTCAGTTATTAATGTTCATATTTTCATTTACAGACAAAATAAGGAAATAAAATCACCAGGATCATGTAGAGCTGGTTAATATGAAGGTTTTCAGACCAAAATGAGGAGACTGACAGCAGACGTGAATTGAAGCCAGAGTCGATGGAGCCAGAAGCACACCTATGCTCACTTCCTATTTGGAACGTGGCGACTATGGGGTTAGCTATGTCCATTTATATATATAATCTATGAAATGATGCTCAAATTTGCACCTTGATATCGATACTAAGGAATAGACTCCATAATCAATACGGATTCCGATACCATGATGATGATTTAAAACACTCTTCATTTAGAATCGTAATACTTTTTTTTAATATTACATGTGGTCTTATATCTGTGTTATTCCTCAGTCATCCAGGTAGGTTCCATAGTTCCATAGTCCATGATCTTATACTTGTTCTGATACAGCTCAAGATCATTCTAAAGCTATTAAGGAAGGATTCATTTCTGAATATGAAATATACAGATATATAAATATACATTAAAACTAGACATAAGGAATAAAAACCAACAAATGTGGCCATTTGAGCGAGAAGAGCAACGGTTTGAGTCGTGTTTGAGACCAAGTTTGGCGCTTCCTGTGTCTCTTAAGGTCACTTTGGAGCGGCTTTCTGCACTTCTTTGTTCTTCAGAGTTTTACAGAGTTTCTTTGATGCTAATCCAACGCCTGTACCAGTGTGAGAGGACGCAGTCACCTTACAAAAACAAAGACGCGCCAGGAAATCCTCTCTTACTGCTGTTAGAGGAAAACTTCAATGGTTTCTTATCATTTACATCAGGATTTGGCACCTTGGTTTTCTACATATGCATGTTTTATAAAAAGGGCCCCACACCTGAGTTCAGAAAACACTCTGTTGGAGAATCATTTGGATAATTTCATGCCTGGAAATGCCAATCTCTGCTAAATAAAAGGTCAAATTTTGCTGTTAAAGTGACATTACAGAATGGAACTGAGCATTTTGAGCTTTGGCGATATAGACAGACTAATAATAAAGGACTCCAGGCATGTTTTGAGGAGGCAACAACATTGGAACATGGTTTAAAGCTCACACAAGTCAAGTCTGCGTAATATGAGACCTTTATGCACATTGTAAGGCGTCAGTATACACACCGAGTGAGCTTCTGCCCATGTCTGTGCCAGTGTTTGTGCCCAGGCTGGTGGCAGCACATGTCTCTGTTTGCTCCAGACTTCCTCTCGGATTACCACCCGGCTGCAGCGCTTTGGCCGCCGCTCCGGCCCGGTGCAAGATGGGTCCAACTGCTGCGCCCAAACACCCATGGGTGCTCTCGTGCCCCAGTAAACTCCCCATCACCATCCCTGACCACTGTGAGCCTCGCCGAGACAATTATAGAGGCACTGTGAGCCTGGTTATCTTTCAAACTGTGTACAGTCCCACACAGCTCCTGCTTTGACAATCCCTCTGCCAGATCATTCGGCCGCACAGAAAGAAATCCAGAGTTAAAGGTTTTCCATGTGTTTGAGCAAAATTTGTCTTACCCAGTACAGATATAGTGTATAAGCAGCTCTTGAGAGTAAAATATGTCCACTATGTGCTACTGTGTGATATTAAAACTAGTATCAAAACTAGAAAAGCAGTCAGAGAGCGCAGACCTCCGCCAAGGACTACCCCAATTTTTTATATAAATTGCGATAAAATCAGTCTTCTGGATCAGATCCGGATCAGCCTTTGGAATATGAAAGAGGATCCCATTGTCCATCCCTGAGTCAAATTTCATGGGGTTTGGTCAATAATTAACCGAGATATTGAGAAACAAAATTTTTGGCCCCATTTACCACAATGTTAACTAAAATTTCAAAGTGATCCAGAATCCAGGATTTCTTCCGGATCACCCCCAAAATGAAATCAGTTCTTCCTTTTCACATTTCCAACAAATCCTGAAAATTTCATCAAAATCGGTCCATAACTTTTTGAGTTATGTTGCTAAAGACAACAAACAAACAACAAACAAACAAACAAACAACAGACAAACAGACAAACAAACAAACAAACAAACGCCGGCAAAAACATAACCTCCTTGGCGGAGGTAACTAGATAATCATTTGACCAGGTATCAGTTGGAATCAGAATTGAGTAAAGAGTCTATTCCTTTGAGTCAAAGGAGAGTATGAAATTTTAGTATCATGACAACACTACTGATTATAAAGTGTTTTATTTATTTATAATCAAGAAGTGCACATTAGTAAGGTAGTTTTTTGTTAGTTTTATCATGACAGGAAAACTCATCTCTGGTCTCTGAAAGTTGTGAAAAGTCCTCATAAACTCACTTTTTTAAAATTACACACTTTAGACATGTTCTTAAATGTTCTTGCAATGTAGCCAATATTTTGTGCAATCAGCAAATATGGCTTCATTCAGTTATTTATTTGTTGCTGTTCATGTCTTTTCTTGAGGATATATTAAAGAAACTGTGTGTAGCCTGCAACCCTACAGTTTAAAAAAAGGTACTACAAGCACAACTCAACCTGTGATTGATCAGTACGAGCATTCACGATCCTGTTTAGGTGTTTGATTTTCAACAAAAAAGTGAGAGTGACAAACTGTTGACTAATGGTACCTGACTTGCGATAGTGAGAGAGAATACAAATCAGCTCTCCTGTTGCAGTTCCAACCAGCTCAGTTCTTTACAGTCAGAGTGTGTTAAACAAAGCTCAGATTAATGTCTAACTTGAGTAGGGTGACCAGACATCCCTTTTTAATTGGGACAGACCCGGTTTTGAGCCCTGTGTCCCTTGTCCCAGCAGATTTATCCAAAACCAGTGATTCGTTCCAGTTTTATACAAGAAATGTCCCAGGTATTCCTATTTTTGACCGTTTTGATATCTGCCAGCAGTAAAGAGAGGAATATATTGCAATTTGTTTAGATAAAATACAAAAAAAAAATCAACTTATAAACGACCAAAACACAAAGACTATGTGACTATACTGACTCACATGTTAGTCATGCGTGGTCTCTGCGTAACTATTTTTCTTAATTTTATTACCATATTTTTCGGACTATAAGTTGCACCAGTCAAAAAACGCATAATGAAGAAGAAAAAAAAACATATATAAGTCACACCGGACTATAAGTTGCACTTTTTGGAGGAACTTTATTCTATAAAATCAAAGACCAGGAACTGACATTTCATCTTGAAAGTCAAGTTCTAGTAATAACAATAGAACAGAGAACAACGGACTGTTAACGTTACATATGAACAGTTCTTCAGATAAACTATAACATAAACAACAGAACAAGTTTACTAAACTCTCCATCTCACTCCAAATCACTAAATCCATTCAATTCTTCATCCTCGTGTCACTTCTGAGCAACTCCGCGACCTCCGGAGGTAAACAGAGCACCGCTTCCTCTTCTGCGTAGCTGTCGTCACACTCAGCATCATTTCCGGTTAGAATTATTCCGGCCTTTCTGAATCCCGACAGGATGGTTTCAGTTTTGCCAAGTGACAGTGGTGCAGGAGTAATAGGAGCAGCAGATACTGGCACACAAGTCTAGAGCGCCCTCTCGCAGCTGTCAGTGTGGACATTTTAATATATAAGTCACACCGGAGTATAAGTCGCAGAAAACACCCAAACCATGAAAAAAAGTGCCACTTATAGTTCGAAAAATATGGTATTACCAACCACCAAAAAAACAGGTGTTCCAATTTTGTTTTGTTTTTTTATTCTGGTCACCCTAAACTTGAGTAAAAGAGCTTCAGACAGAGCAGTGTCTACAGTTAGCTTCATAACCCCATGACAGCAGCTGCAAAGTATAATCTGACTCAGTATTGAAAGTGTCATACATTTTACACCCCTCTGTTACTCTGCATTGCCAATCCATACAGCACTTAGCACCTATAGTCATGATTTACCGCTCCTGCATTACAACCGTTTTTCCTCGATCTCCCGTATCCTTCAAGTCACAACCTTGAAATGAGCTGAACGCGACTGAAATTTAACTCACAACGCTCAAAATCACAATCCGCTCCAGCTTTTAACTTCAAGGTGAGCTCTGAGGTTTTAGATGTATACGGCCGCCCTCCCGCTGCGGATAAAAGCAATGGCCAATGAATTTTCATGCTTAAAGGCTCTGGGGTTACAGATCCCAGCCGCTTTCTCTACAAACATGATTGTTCTTTGAGTTTAACCCTGCTCACACTCGCCTAGAGGATCAGCAGGCAGCTTTACCAGGCGCTAAACCTGGATAAAAGATTGCTGATGTAGCCAGAAGGAGCCCCTGGCATGACTACTACACAAGTACCTATAGCACATGATGACTTAAACAAAAACGCTAATGATTGGATGATATAAAATGCAAGAGCTACAACGCATTGATTCCACTGTGAAGTTGTACACGCGTTGCTTTTATCGATCCGTGCCGGTAGTAAGTCTTGTGAGGCGCTTTGAGGACTGGCGTTGTGAAATGTCGGGGCGGTAAAGCAGTTAAAGGTGCACTGTGTAGCTTTTTGAGTTGTTTCTATGGAGATATCATCGCTCTGCTTCGAATCTCCTAAGACATTTAAGAGATCTAACAACATTTATTCAATTACTGGTGGTTTTATCGCTCAAAAATACCTAGAAAAACAACAAGTCAACAGATCTGACCTGTAATATGGCCTGGTTTGGTCTCCATAATGATAGAAAGGTTTAATGCCATACTGTGAAACATTACAGACAATCCAGTAATGTGAAGAAAAGCAGGTAGTGGACCCTCAACCAGAAAAGTTACACAATGCACCTTTAAAGAACACATATTATGCATTCTTCTTATTGTTTTAATTCCTTTTTGTTCACCTTGGGGTAAGTAGTTCACATGTTCTAACTTAAAATAATGTCTACGTTTGGAAAAAAATACTTAAACTTCACCTCTGTTTCCAATGAGGTATTTAAGCGCTGGAGCTCCCTCTGCTGTCTGCAACAGGAATGAACAACGTCAAAGTAAACAAATGAAGTCCTGGCAAATGAAGAAGAATGATAACGAGATTGGTGCCATCTAATCCCTCCCCTCAATTTCATTTCTCTCCAGCGACTAGGTCAGGAATCGGAATACACTAGACAGTCTGTGAGAGCCCTGGAAGTTGTAGACCGTGCAACGACCAATCAGCGAAGAGCTGTGAAGCCGTGACGTCAAACTCAAGCGCCTGTCTGGGTCCCTTTTGTGAGACAACACAACAGTAAACAAAGCGTCGAGATGGATGAAGACGAAGACAGACATTCTGTATTGGCAACGATTCCCGAGATTGAGGCTCGAGGATGTTTGGTGAATTTTATCAAGGGGAAAGACATTATTGCCCTTCTTCCTACGGGATTTGGGAAAAGTGTAATATACCAGTTAGACCCGTTAGTGGTGAAGAAAATGGGAAAGCCTAACCCTGTTGTAATTGCCGTACCTTGCCCAAATAGAAGATTAGATAAAGGAGGCTGAAAAATTGGGTGTAAGTTCTGGCCAGCTTGGCGTTAGTGATGATCAGGATATCATCAACAGAAAATTTAGCATGGTTTTCGGGAGCCCAGAGTCCTGGTTACTTAACAGCAAATGGAGACAACTGCTTGACTCCAGGATATACCAGGACAATGTGGTCGGCATTGTTGTGGATGAGGTCCATGTAACATTGAGTTGAAACACATTACTCAAGTGTATATAGGGCCACAATTACAATTACTTGGACACCATTGAGCGTTCTGGCACATTACATATGTCATGACCAAATGGCAGCGATTGGTTAAATAAAAAAAGTACCCGCCTACCATTGAGCAAACAAATCCTAATGCTGTGAGGTAAGACGGTTTACACGAAATTAAACTGGTTGATGAATCAGATTACCGTATTTTCCGCACAATTAGGCGCTCTGGATTATAAATCACACTGTCATAGAATGGTCTATTTTCAAACTTCTTTCACAAATAAACCAATTTTAAACGAAACACAACAATTCGATGGGTCATTGGGACTTTGTTTGGCGTGTTCACTGTGACTTTGGTCTTTGTTCAGTTGTGGCGTGTAGGAAGGGTGCTGTCTGGGACCGCTGGATTGTCGGCATGTTCGCAGTGACTCAGTTGTTTAGTTGTGTCTAGAACAGCTGAAAAGGTGGTGGGCTCCTCACTCCCGAACCTGGACACATCTACTCTTCACGTCTCCACACACGGGCCTCCAACATTTTGCAGGACCCCACACACCCCGGGAACTGCCTCTTCCACACTCTCCCCTCAGGAAGACTTGAAACTCCCCTCACACGCACAAACAGGCTGCGCAACAGCTTCTATCCACGAGCAGTGGACGTGCTCCAAGGGCACAGGCACAGATAAAAGGCCTG